GACTCAATCCAAAAATGGGCATCTGAGATGAATAAACAATTCTCAGATGAAGAAATACAAACGGCAAATAAATACATGAAACAATGTTCATCGTCATTAGTCATTAGAGAAATGCAAATTAAAACCATACTGAGATTTCATCTCACTCCTGGAAGAATGGCCAAGATCAAGAAAACCACCAACAACAAATGCTGGAGAGGCTGTGGGGGAAAAGGAACTCTCTTGCACTGTTGGTGAGAGTGTAGACTAGTGCAACCATTGTGGAGGTCAGTCCGGAGATTTCTCAGAAAACTGGGACCAGAAGCCCCATTTAACCCAGCGATACCACTTCTAGGCATATTCCCAGAAGAACTGAAAGCATCATACCACAGTGATATATGTGCCCCCATGTTTATAGCAGCACAGTTTGTAATAGCCAGATCTTGGAAACAACCTAAGTGTCCATCAACTGAAGAATGGATAAAAAAGTTGTGGTATTTTTATACAATGGAGTACTACTCAGCTATAAAGAATGATCACATTGAGACATTTATATATAAATGGACGCAGCTTGAGACCATATTCAGAAGTGAAATAAATCAAACTCACATGTATAAATACCGAATAGTTTCCCTAGTATAAGAAATGATAAGAATACATAAAAGTATGTGGTAATCATGATTCCCAATCATATTGGTTTGAAGCCATACAATGTTTTCACTCATTAATTGCAATGGTTTTAACCTGGGTTGTTCAATTTTAGTATCTGTGATAGTACGAATAGCTATTTTGAAGAAAACAACACAATATAAAAACTAGTGCTGATTTAATATCATCTTGTTTTGAAGTCCCATCAAGCTGTGGTACATCTGTTTCCACTGGTTTTAACATGTTGTATCTTACTATATTTCACTATATGTGATAGTATAAACAAAATTCTTTATAGGCAAGGAGATAATATAGAAACCGTTATTTGTTTTCTATTAGCTGGTTCTAAATACCCTGTAATTCTTGCATTCTCTTGAATGGCTTCACACTCTCTTCATATGCTTGATGCTATAGCATACGAAGTTACACTCAAATAATTCAAGGAAAGAGGCACTATGGCGACTACTAATTATGTTAGATTATCTGGTGGTGAAACACAATGATGCTTAAATTGTTCCTGCGTTGTTCTGTTACAATGTCTTCTCTTATCTCAATCTCCCCCCCTTTTTAAATTGATCTATTTTCTCTCATTTTTTTTAATTAGGGGAAAACTAAATTTAAAAATAGCAGAACATATTATAGTAACTTTTTTGTTTTCCTATTAACCTGATTTGAACCCCAGTATTGCTCTCCCCATCTAAAAAAAAAAAAAAAAGAAAAGTTTAATTTTTAAAGAGAGACATAGGATCAACTTAACAAGAAAAATACCTCCTGTGTTGGGCAATCCTCAGGAAACCTGTCTTTCAAATAGTTGCAAAATATATGTGTGTAATAAAAAGCATTGCTTTAAGAAACAAAAATACACATCATACCTCCAAACTGGTGATAATTTAATTTTGCCTTCTGATGGATGGTGGGCATCACCATGGTGTCTCTGCAGCAAAGTAATCACGTAATGCAGCTGAGTAAGTAAGTAGGGGGCACACGAGGGCACGGGAGGGCACGGGAGGGCACACGAGGGCACATGAGGGCACACAAGGGCACGGGAGGGCACAGGTGGGCACGGGAGGGCAGAGGATTCTGCCCATGTGACTCCTCAGCCTTCTCAGTTCCTGATCCCAAGTAAATGTGAGGAGCCCCAGATCCACCCCAAAGCCAGTGGAAGAGCAGGGTGCAGCCGACTGTGCACACACCCCTGACACCCCCAGGACTGCGGTGGTCCCAGATTCATAGATCACGGGGCCTCGAGGGAGCCTGTTTAAAGAGGTGACTCCCCCAGACTCCAAGCCTCTGCTCTGTTGTGTGGCCCACACCTGCAGTTTAGGAGACACCCCAGATGTAGCCAGACAGCTGCAACCCTGCCCTAGGGGAGCCTGGGTGCTGGGCTGGGTTGGAACCCCAAGAAGTGACCCTGTCCTCAATGAGGACAGTGAATTTAAGCTGTCTTTCCTCAAGGGAGACTAAAGAGATTACTCCCATTCAGTGCACCCCGAGGGACAGACCAGAGGCAGAGTAGGCACTACTCCACTGCAGAGTGGCAAGGCTGGGCCACGTGGTCCCCAGCAACTGGGACATGAAGTCCTCCCAGCGTTACGGTCAGGTGGCTAAGAGGACCCTGGTGAGCTGGGAACACGAAAAGTGCACTGCGCAGACAAGTCACGAACGATAAGCAGGGTCCACCCCAGGCAGTTTCTGTCGCTGTCATTTTCGCCATGACACTGGCCACAAGTCTCTTCTAAAATAGGAACTCAGGAGGGAGATGGGGAGGTGTTGGCTGGAGAAAGGGCACCGAGTTTTGGTCTTGAGTTGAAGTTGTTCAGGAGACCCAATGTCTACAGTTAATGAAGATGAATAGTCAGAATTCACCACTATATTCTTACTAAAGTCAGAGATAGAGAGAAAGAGAGAGAGAGAGAGAGAGAGAGAGAGAGAGAGGAAGAGGAAGAGGAGGAGAGAATAAGGGAAAAATAAAATAACCTAGATGCTCTGTGATGGACGTGGTGACAAAGCTTGACTGTGGCAGACATTTAACATGCAGACCTACATCCAAATGCCGTACTGCAGACCTGAATACACGCACTTTTATTAGGTTTTTTTTTTTTTAATTTTTAAAATATTTTTTCTGGTACAGGGGATCAAACTCACGACCTTGTGCTTGCCAGGCAGGTGTTTATGCCGCTGAACTAAATCCCCAGCCTCACACTTTTATTTGTTAACACTGAGGAAAACACAGGGCTCAGCCTCTGTCTCAACCTCTCCTGGCTTCCGCCAGCCCAGTGTGTGCTGTCCCCGCTGCGTTTTGGCTTGGCCTTGGCCATGGCCGCGCTGGGGGTGCTGCAATTACTCCCCGTGGCCCCTGCCTCTTGGTGCCTCCACTTCCCAGCCTGTCCTTCCTCACCAGCCCTGCCACCGGCCTCAGCTGGCCAAAGGGACACTCCTCCCTGTAGCACTTGTTCCCCGGCCACCTTATCGGGCTGGCTATCTCGACTCTGAGGCCATGTGGCTCTCAGTGGCCAGGCTGAGTCTCCCTCCAGTGGCCTCTTGTGACTGCTGTGCTGTGGGCTGAGGGGCCCTGACCTTAAAGGACTAGTGGAGGACTGGCCAGTGTCACTTGTCTGACCGCCAGTGACCGCAGTAGTGTGATAACAGAGGAACTGTGCCCGGCAGGTGTTGGATCTATTGGTCCTCCTGCAGGGGAAGGCTGTGTAGGCCTGGTGTCCTAAGGGACAGCCAGTTCAGACAGGGCAGATGCACTGTGAACACCTCCCAGTGAAAAGCCGTCTTACAGTAGGAAACCCTTTTCCCTGAGTGCACGTTCCTTCATGTTTGTTGTGATACCATCTGCAGAGAGCTGGGCTCTGCCAGGGGCCGGGGGAGACTACTCAGCAAGGACAATGGACGCCCTCCCATGAACCAGCCGGTGCTTCGCAGGCTGGGAAGCCAGAAGAGTACCCCCTCCCCTCCGGAAGCACCTGGCTGATTCAGAGGACTCAGGTGAGCTGACCGCACCTGAGGGAAGGGAGGGGCTGGGTGCTTGTGCTGTGTGGCTGACCCTGAAGGCCTGGGCTGGAGGTCTGGGCATCTACCTGGAGGATGGCAGTGTGCACCGTGGCAGCTGTGGGGATTTCCTTCTGCCTTGTTTCTGAAATCTAATGTTTTGTTTCATTTTACTGTTTTGTTTTATTTCTGTTTCTGGTAACCGGAGCAACTATCTCAAAGAGAAAATAACATGCGGTGTAACAGTCAGTGTTAAGTTTCTATCACCGTGTTTTGAAGACCTGTATAGTTGTTGTTGTCTTGTTGCTGTTGCTGCTGTCATTACTTTTGTTGTTTTTGAGGTTTGTTTGCATCTTGATTTTTCTGGTTTTTTTATTTCTTAAAAGAAAAAAGTGTACAATAGGCACCATGATTTGGAATGGACAAACTGTGATGGGGGAAAGTAAGAATGAGTAAAGGGAAAAGTATACATATACACAGACCGTTAAGGTAGTCACACTGCTAACTTCTGCTATGTCACGCGGCAGCAGTATATGTGCGCTCACGTTTATAGCAGCACAATTGGTAATAACTAAGTCTTGGAAACAACCCAAATGCCCATCAACTGCAGAGTGGATGAAAAAGATGTGGGATAGTACTCAGCTATAAAGGATAATCTTGAGAATTTTATATTTTATAGGTAAATAGAGGCAATTTGAGACCATACTCATAAGTGAAATAAATTAAACTCATAGTTGTAAATATCATGTTGTCTCCCTACTATAAAAAAACCTGAAAGAGTAACAAGATCCAAAATGTATAATAGATATTGTGATAATGAAAGGAAAAGGAAAGAACTGGGATGGGGAAGGCAGAGAAGGCAGGAGGTAAAAGATTGTATGCACATAGGTGTACATGTAAATATGCACGTGTGCACACAAGATAGACAGCTACACTATTGACCTGTTAGTTCATCCAAAAGAACAGTTTGTGTTTCCATTGTCTGACAATGCCTAGATCGTGTAACCTGAACTATATCTAGGACAACAATATGCAACATATTAATTAGTGTTAATTTCCTACTTTTTTGAAATTCTGTATCGTTTCTGTTTTGCTTTTAAAAAAAAATAATAAGTAAATAAAACCAGCTGCAGAGCAGGAACCGCAGCACTGTGCCTGCTCCTGGGGCCGCAGGGGGAGGCCCTTCGCGCTGGCCCACGCGCACCTGTTACGCCCTGCCCTCAGCGGCCCCTAGTCCTCTGTGCTGGACAGGCTGCCTTCTCCGCCTCAGGGTGCACCTCCGCGTGAGGATGGAGCCGAGTAGAGCTGCCTCGGTCCCCCCAGCAGCCCACACCCTGGAGCCCCCCTGCCGCCTCCCTGTCCCCGAAGGCCCGAACCTTGTAGTGGAACAGAAAGAGCCCGCAGAACAGGCTGTACAGGTCCGCCGTGAGCAGGGACAGGTTGACGGCGGTGGCGCTGGTCTTCTTGATGACGATGGGCATAAAGCTGTAGAGACCGAACATGCAGGCGCTGAAGCCCACGTAGAGCAGTCCTGGGGGGCAGAGAGAGCGTCACGCGGGGCGGCGGGGCGGGACGCGGACGCAGGGTGGCGCTCTCCTCGCGTGCACGCTGCCCGCGGGCTGAACACCACGCCAGCAGGACGCGGGGTCTGGATTCCCACTTGGACGGGCTTGCCGCGGCTCGCTATGTGGCTGGGGTTCTGGGGTTCTGGGGTTCCGCGTGTCCGCCTGGACTCCCCTGCCAAGCTGGTCGTCACTGACCTTTTTTTCTTTGTTCGTTTTGGTACCAGGGATTGAACTCACGACCTCTCGCGTTTGTTAGGTGGATGCTTATTCCGGTGAGCTAATTCCCTGCCTTTTTTTTTTTTTTTTGCTTTTCCTTTTTGAGACAGAGTATTGCTATGCAGCTCAGGCTGGCTTTGAACTCACTTTGTAGCCCAGGCTGGCCTCGAACTCTTAGCAATCCCCCTGCCTCAGCCTCACTGTCATTAACTACTTGCTATTCATGTATCTGAAAAACATTTAACCTCTTGGGTTTTTATTTGTAAAATTGGAACAACTCTGCTCAGTATCTGCATAGTCACTGAAATGGAAGAGTTGACCTGTCACAGGCTGAGTGCAGGGTCTGGCATCCCAGCCCACGGCTCTGGGGGGCCCACTCCTCCCTCTAGGAAGGGGCGCTCAGGTTCTGCCCAAGAACTCTGTCCAACCCCACTCCAGCCCCTGAGCTCTGCCTTCCCTAGTTCTTAGGTACCGTGGGCTCCCGTGTGTGAGTCAGTCAGCCTCTCCCTACCCACTCACGGCTCCACACACACTGGCTAACACAAGTCCCAGCCACTCAGTATTCTAGGGATCCAGACAGAAGCTCACAGCTAATTCCAAAATTAGCTTTATCTTTCCCAGATTTCGCTACCATGCAAACGTAGAAAAATAATGCTCACATTTCTGCATTGAAAGAACAAGGGGGCAGAACAAGCATAAGTAATAAATTCCGTGGATGTTTCCTGAGCCCTGATTACAGGTGCCTGGTGGCAGCTGTGGCCAGATGATTTCCTCTGGACCCTGTGAATCTGCAGTGACATAAGGGGAGTGGCTCTCCATGCCTCTAATTTATGGAGACCAGTGATTCCTTCAGAGAGAAATTTAATTTGCTCTTATTAAAAGTAGTTAGGGAATAAATCTGAATTCTGTACTTTTCTGATTGTAAGTTTAAGAAAAGTCGCAACAAAAATAATAAAGAAATAAAAGAAAAGTCACATCAGATCCACATAAAAAAAATTACTGTGGATGTAGGCACAAAATCAGCGCGAGAGTGCCCTCTAGTGGGGAAGATGCGCGCTCACGGGGTGGAAGGGGGAGAGGAAGCCTCGTGACCAGGAGCAGGGTCTAGGACCTGGTTCTCCACACGTCAGCTCCGACCACAGTCTGCTTCCCTGCCCTGGGCTTCTGTGGTCCTTACAATCCATCTTCCTTTTAATTGAGGAACTAAAAATTCAATAAACACTGCATAACCTACGACTGATACATGGAAAGATAGGATCAATCCCTGATCAACCCACCAGGAACAGGATTCATCCATCAATTAATCCACAAAAAATAATCGAATCGGGGCTGAACTCAGTCCAGCCATACCAGACCTTTTCCACAGCGGTGCAGCATGACTTAGATGACGTTGTGACTGATCTTGAGGGTTCCAGAGCTCCCTCTGTCCCCAACCCTCATGCAGTCCAGCAGGGCCTTGGCAGGGGCACTGGCCCAGAGCTGGTGGCCCACAGCTGTGATGGGTTCAGAAGAGGCAGATACTGGGCGCGGCCTGGAAGAGTCCCCTCTTTCTGCTTCCTGGCCACCATGCCTTGAACAGCTGTCTTCCACATGGAGGGAGGAGAAGTACACAGCTTGCTCCCATACTCCTGACTGGCTGGCTCAGGACACCTCCAGGAGAAACATTCCAAGCATGTGTTGAAGCTGCAGGAATGTGATATAGGGGTACCCATGCACTGTCACAATTGCTAGGTTGAGGAGAATTTGGGGTATGAATGCCCGTTTTGCAAGTGAGGCAGTCAGCCAAATGACCCTGACTAGATGGGTGTTGGAACACAGCATTGCTCCCCTGTGCAGATTTCTGCCCCAAGATGATGCCAGCTACTAGGGAATGTCAGCATGCATCTGAAGACCCAACCACTGTCCAAACGGGGTCCCAGATGATCAATGTGGGTGAAAGAATGACCTGATCACTTTGCAGCCAGTATATCGCTGCAACAGTGCAACTACAGACCACTGCATGCCCAGCCATTCCTTATTTGGAATATTTCTCTCTCTCAGTCAGAATTTGGTCACTGTCATCCTTGTGATCTAAAAGGATTTAAACTAAGGAGACTGAAAGCAACGCCACCGGCTGTGCTGCATGCTGGACAGGCACTCACTATGGTCCACTTCTTGGCACCAGGAAGGGACAGGCTGCAGAAGGAGACACAGCCTCGCCAGGGTCGGCAGCAGGAAGGCCATGGAGCAAGACTCCAAAGGCGTCCACAGGTGACCAGCCAAGCAGGGTAGGGGCCCTTGGAGATGAGCAAGGGCTGGAGGCTGGAGGAACACAGGCTGAGGCCTTGGTCAGGGATCAGATGTTGGGGATGCGCCAAAGACAGAGGCCCAGGAGACTCAGTCATTTCTGGAGATCTGACCCAAACAGCCAGAAATAAAGAAATCCTTGGTTTCCACCTCCTGTCTCCTCTGATGCCGCCCAAACCCAGTGGGGAGCCAGGGTACGGGGATGCCTGGCCAGGGATGCCTCCGTAGGTACCCTCCGCCTGAGCAGAGCAGGTGGGGAATGGGTGTGGAAACCGAGGCAGAGATACTCTTAACTTGATCATGTTATTAATCCTCATGCAGAGAGATGAGGCCTGCGGATAGCACACAGCTAAATCTAACGAGCCTCTCATTTTACATGTGGCTTATGTAAAACAGCACATAAGACATATATGTCTGTGTATGCTATGTGTGCTTTCTCTTTCTCTTTCTTTTGTATACACTAGATTCCTAAAATATTATCTTTAGTTCTTCAGAACAGTGGCTGGGTAAGACAAGTGTGCAAGAGTGCAGGTTTGAGGCTAAGCCTGTGAGACCTGTGAGGAGCTGTCAGGTACCCAGGCCCCGGGTCCAGTGCCAGCAGCAGACTTGTTTGTGCCTAAGTACCTCTCAGTGCTCCTGCTCCGTAGTCCCACTGCCCAACTTCAGGGCCGTTACGCGTTCTGGCCATGGTAGTGAAAACCCAAAACAAGGATCCACCATGACTCCTGAAGTTGGAAAGCTTCAGGGTCCCGAGTGTCTCTGGGGCCTGACCCCTGCGCACTTTGCTTCCCTGTGGTATTTGGGTCTGTGCCAGCTCCTGTAGTCCACCGCCGTTAGTGTGATATTAGGAGGGCATGGGGGTGCTCACTAGATCTCTGGCCAAGTGTCTAACACTCCTGCACCCAGGCTCATACTCAGCTGTGTCAATTCCCATGCTTCCCGTGGGTTTACCCAACAGCTAAATACAACCCGTTCCTGCATTCAGTAGCACAAAACAAACAATAAGAGCTATTGTTTCCTTGCTCTTAATCAGTCTCTTGTAGGAAAATAAGTCTGTTTAAAAAAATATCTTGAAGTCAAGAAAGTAGAAAACATTATTCCACTTATCCGAAGAGGAAAATCGCCCAGGAAGCCTGGTGAGGTGGACGGGAGTCCTGGAAAGAGGCCAGGAGCGTGGAAACGCCCCTCCCTGAGGAGGAGGCAGTGGCCAGGGCTCAGCTCTTCTTCAAGGTCTCCTCCCTGCCCCTCAGTGGCTACTGTGCCACTTGGTGCCCAGCGGAAAGCACAGGCCAAGCCCATGCCCACCTCACTCCCATGTCTGTGTCCCGTGAGCCAGAGCGGGCAGAACATCACTTGCTGCCTCCTGCTTCATAAGCAGATTCTACAAACACCACCTGCCAGGAACTGAGCTAAACCACACACGACAGTCACCATGAGCCAAAGAGGATGAAGGTGGCCTGAAGTCAACACCACAACCCCAGAGGAGCTTCAGAGAGATCAGCAGGAGCTCTTGCTCTCCTCGGACCTCCATTTCCAGGAGTTACACGGGGGCCTACAATGTGCTCCTTCCGAACCTTCCCCATTGTCCAGACTTCCTGGGACTGACATCTGAATGCCAAGCCAGAGATCCCAGAATAAAGCTACCTTTGGAGGCCACGTTTAACTAAAACTGAGATAACAGAGCCTCTGTGGACATGTGTCCAGCGTCCATCCAGTCAGAGGACAAGTTCTTTTTGGTCATTGCAGTTCCCACCAATAGCAAATTAATTTATCCTCAGAGGTCCTGGCTGAAGCGCTGCCAGGCATAGGTCACCTTGGATGCCGGCTTGAGCGCATAAGCAGTGGACCCATACCTGCAGCCTCACCTCCTCCCCGCCCTGCCTTGCCCGGGGTTTTCATTGAGTTACAGCGTTCTGTGCCACGCGGTTGAAAAGGTAAGTGGCAAGACTCTGTGACAGGCAGGAGTGACTCATGCACTGAAGTCCCTGGAGAAAACCTTTGGGCGGTCACGTGTGCCTCCGCAGTTTCAGGGCACTGAGGGGGAATGGTGCTGGCAGCAAGTGGCTGGATGCTGAGGCTCGGAGCCAGGTGGCCAAGTGTGCAGGGCACAGCTGCCACTGTTGTCCTTCCTCACAGCAGGAGAATGTGGCTGAAGACACCATGAGTGTGGCCAGCCTCAACATGGCCGCATCCACACCCCTCTCTCCACACCACCCCAGGCCCCTGCTGTCCGGCCGGCTCTATGTCCCTGCAGGGACCCTGCACCTTGGGAAGACCCTGTGGGAAGCCCGAGGGCACCACCGAGGCTCTGAAGCCCTAGGCCCCCATTTGGAGAGAAAAGGGAGCGAGGCATAGTGCGAGGCTCAGTGGGCATGGCCTATGCAGCACCCACCAGGAAGGGCGGGGTCAGCTCTCCTCCAAGCAAACTGCTCCTTTCTGTGAGGTGCACAAGGCAGAACCTTGTTCCCTCATCCCTGTCCTGCTTTTGTTCCTCTTTATTAAAGTGCCACTTTATAAAGATCGTGTCAGTTTGGTGTTTGGCGGCCAGAGCACACACTATTGCGTCTTGGAGCATTTCACTTTCTTTCTGCTTTTTACCCCAGGGCTGCACCTCCCTGGCCCCGAGCTGCCCTTGGCAGTGCTCCTGTTCCAGACCGATGCTCACACTGGAGATGTGTTGCGCCCTGTAGCCCAGGCCCGGGCAGCACATGGAGTCCCTAAGATGCCAAGGGGCTCAGCTGCCCAGTCTCCTGCGCGTCTGAGCCTGTGCACTTTCCTCCTTCCCAGTGCCACCCCCATCTCCCCGCCCCCGCCACCCATGCGGGCACCATGGCCTTACCTATCTGCCAGTCCCAGGGAACCTTCAGCAGTTCCTTGTGCTCCATGATGGCTCTGTGGATTCAAGGACAGTGGGACTGATGAGCAAAGTACCCTGCACCCTACTTCCTTGCTCTTTACCACCCTGAGGCAAAGAAGCCTCCAGCTGGATGCACATGGCTCCGGGCACACAGAGGCTGCGTAGCTCAGCCTGAAGGCCTTGCCCAGTGCAACTGGCAGCTGGTTCAGAGGGCTCAGTGGGCACAGAGGACCCTGCCCGATGTTGCTGTCCACTCATCTGTGCCTGCCCCAGCCTTCTCAGTGGCTCTCTGAGAAGCAGGGGCTAGGGTGGGAGATTGCTGCCTTCCACACAGGGTGAGCCCACCTCTGGCTGCACTCCCCCCAGTAGAACTTCTCACAGGTGGGCACAGCTGGCAGCTCCTGCGGGGCAGTTGTGCTGAGTCCTCACAAGCGCAAGGCTGCTGCACTGTGAGTCCCAGGCTCTAGAGGACCCAGGCTGAGCCGGGCCCACCCCACCATTCACAGTGGGTCCTGCATGTCCCGGAGGTGACCGTTTGCCATGCAAGTCTGAGGCGTTGTCCTTGGGGCCTCAGTCCAAGATACAGGGCTGTGAGGGAAGCAGGTGAATACTGGACCTCTGAAGAGAAGCCCTAGACTCAGGCATGATCACCAACTATAAAGATTGGCTCCGCAGAGCCAAACAGGGCAATGCTTTTCCTCCCACCAAAGCTTTGCACTTTCACATCTTACCCCAATAAATCCTCCGTGGAGTCTTCCATTTTTATGTCTTCGCTATGGAGCTTTTTACTTTTATTTGTGGCACTAGAGATTGGATCCACAGAGCTACATTTTTTTGGATCCTCAATGGATCCACAGAGCTCTTTTTTTTTTTTTTTTTTAGACAGGATCTTGCTAAGTTACTAAATTTCCTAGGCTGGACTTGAACTTACAATCCTCCTGTCTCAACCACCTACAGTGCTAGGATTACAAGGACACCGACCCAGTACAATTTCAAAGTGCTCACTTTGTAGAAAGAAATGTAGTGAACTAAGAGTTACTTCTCTGTGGAAAAGCAGTTGGTGGTGTTAGGCTGGAGATTATGTTCTCATTCTTCACCCTTACGTGAACCTAAGATGTACGTCCTTTATTGGTAGCAAATTACACTGTCTTTGGCCCTCATTTTAACAATAAGTGTTCAGACACTAACTGGTGTTCTAAGTGATGAATTATTTGCTCCACAAGTATTGCAAAACTGGTGCTTTTGTCTTTCTGATCCTTAGTGAATGATTGTATTATACCTTTATCATTTTAAGGAAAATGGAAATCCTAAGTTCTAAGAAACAAATGTGAAGTATGGTTTATTTTTGTGTATCCATGGGCAATAAAAGAATTTTTAAGAAAGCGAGTTTAAACTGTGAATTTTCTAACCGTTGTCATCAGTAAACAGGGTGTCTCTTTTCAGAAGTGCATTGAATTGTGACATTCATGCTTAATTTTTCTGCTTCTCTAAGTAATGACTTGCTCAGCGGTTTGGGAGAATGGACATTCTTCTAAAATTTTCTCACAAATTATCTTCAAGACCCATGAAATGCTTTATAATAATTTATAACATACTTGCTTAGATTGGGAGTAATTTACTAATACATTTGCAGATTTCATCAGAGTTCTGTGTGGGAGACTGTGACTGCTCTCCGGCCTTGCCCTCTGTGACCTCAGACAGAGCTGCACCAGCAGTCCCTCACCACCTGGGGACCTCCTTGCTGTTTCTACTTACAGTTGAATCCCACTGAAGAAGGCACCGAAGAGCCCGATCATGCCCAGGAACTCCACACGGCTGCGTGTCCGGATGATATACTCCTCCCAGACGTTAGAGATGCCATACAGCGTGGCCCCTCCGAGCACCAGGAGGTCCCCTACCAGCTTGTTTTCCCCTGGGACCAAGAGAGCACAGGGTGATAACCTGCTGTCAGCTTCGTACTTCCTGCTTGCAAATCCTATATAAAATAAACCCAGAGCAGACTCCTGGCTGGTGATTTGGAACTGATTCCCACCGACCTGCTGGCATAGTAAATCATTGCCTTCCAACCTCCTTGGTGTGCAAGATCTTCCATTTGGTTTGATATCAGATCTTTGCAACATTTTCAGCTCAGTATTGGTTTTGTTTCCAGTCCAAGTTTTAAGAAGTGTGTTATCTGAGATTTCTACAATTAGGTGAACTCTCGCCACTCCAGGGAGCCAGAGAAGGAGGGGAGAGGAGCCCGGCAGCAGGGGAGCCTCCCTGGTGGGCTCTGTCCCTGGCAGCAGCCCCGCACCCAGCAAGCCCAGCCAGTGTGGTGCGGACAATAGGCTGCAGCCTCAACAAGAGTCCAGCAAGGCACTGGCCTGGTCTCCATCTCCTCAGATGCTGAGTGGGTCCCTCTGCCCAGGCAAGCATGGAGCAAACCTGTGGGTATGGCTTCACAGGAGAGGATGGGCAACCTGAAGGACCTTGGAACACTAGAGCAGTGCTCTAGATGGGGCTGATTTTTCTGGGGCAAGGACTGGAGGGACAGCTGAGGAGGCCTTGCTCTCGGGGGCAGTGCTAAGGACAGGACTGAACTTGGTGGATTCACGGTTGTGGAGGGCTTGGCCCTCATTCCCCAACCAAGAGCTGGGATCCCAGGAGAAGCTGGCCTGGGAGGTGGGGCGAGCTTGTCCCTCTGGAAAATCAGGCTGCTAGGGCTTGCTCACCTGGGCCTCCTCTATGAGCCAACAACAGAACAGCGATAAACTTTCAACTTTGAGGAGTCCACGAAGGAACAACCCATAAGAGAAAACAGACCTGTAACTAAAATGATAAAATTACTGGTCTCTTCATTCAGGAGACACTGCAGGGTCCTTGGTTACTAAAATTACTTTTATACCACAGGACACAGGAAAGCCAAATTATAACTGAGCATATTAACAGGAATTATTAACATCGAGCTATCTTTCAAAAGTCCTAAAAAGAAGACATGCTGTCCTAGTGCATAGTCTCACTGAGTTTTTCAAACTCCAGTTCTGGCCTCCCTGCAGAACCTACTCACCAGTTTTTGAGTCTTTGGGATAATTACTTGATGAATACAATGGTTTTTGTATCAGCAAGTTCAGAAATGTCTTGTTACCAGTGACAAAAATGCTAAACATTTTTTCCTACAGTTTCCCCAGCAAATGTACTCATTAATTCTAGCATCATTTTGCAGTGGGTATGTGCACACTCGGTGTGCACAGCCAGCCACTCCTGTAAAGAGCCCTTGCCAGACTGAAATTTCCAACCCTGCATCACAATAACTGTTTCTTCCCCTTAAATTGATTAATTATGCAAAGCTGACTAGCATAACATGAAAATGTAGCTGACAAATACAATTAAACTAAGCAGAATGCAATTCTACACAGTCACACCGTATACTGAAGTGTTTGGTGTGATAGGGAAATTCATTGTTTGTGTCTAACACTTGTGCTGCGTTAACTAAGAGTTAACACATTTCTCTGTACTCCACGCATCTGGTAGGGTGCTGCGGCTGGTGTTTGTAGAAGATTTCTGGGCTGAAGTTATGCTCAGCAAAGCCGTCATATAAATGCATGAAGCCACAACAAGCAACAGTGCTTTTAAATTTAGGGTGAGTAGACCCATCTGACAGTGTGAGACGTCCAACCGACCTGCCACCCCTCCACTCGCTGTACCGATGGCACCTATGGACCTGCCACCTATGGACCTGCCTCTCCACACATGTGACTTGTCAAGTGGAGAACACAGACTGTGACTTAGCCGTGTATTCTGTGTGGCCCCAAGTGTGGCTCTCAGGACAGGGCAAGCTCACGGTGAGCACCTGCAGGAGTCATGCTGACTGTGGGTCCCTTCCACCCTGCGGAGGTGGCTTGGTGGCAGTAGCATATAGTTGGGTAGAGTCCTGGAGAATGACACCTTCACTTTTGAACTGTGGAATACTGGGCAGACCTGAGGGTCTTTTTGAACTTTTTCCTTGTCTCGAAGTGTGGTTCTTGTTAGAAGCCTAGCAGGTGTCAAAGCTTAGAGCCACCTGGCACTTACAAGCCCCTCATAAGCAGTGCTCAGAAAGTGAGTGCTCGCTCCTGCGAGTGACCAGCAATGCCTTGGGTGAGCCCTTCCTGTTCCCTCTGCTCCTTGATCCACATCAACGTAGTTGTCACTGCTGTGTGGAACCCCAATTTCCTCACTGGAGTTTGGTTTTAATTACCCCAAGTACTGTTTGGAGGCCGATGTGGGCATCAACAGTGGCAGAGGAGCGGAAAGGTTATTTAAAATCACTGCTCGCCATGAGGTCCGACACTGAATGGCATTGAAGCAGTCCACAGTTCACAAAAACGCACCCACCCCACCTCACCCTGGAGTCTCAGACTGTTTTATTGGGCAGGGACTCAGCTGGAATTTCAAAATTTGCATATCTGAGAGATCCTCTACTCTGGGTGAGCTGCAAGAGCTGTTCACCCTAAGTTACTGTGTTACAATAATGGTACATTTCTTTCAGCAGTCACTGCTCTGAAGAAACAAGGATTCAGAGATGTAAAGAAAGAATACTGTCTAGATGACAGCCAGCTTGCACAAATTTCCTGTCTTCTCTGTGTTTATTTTCTTTTTTAAAAATATTTTATACAACAGCTTAAATTGCTGCTGAATTAAACAGTTTATGGGGTGAATTATGTTCAGTCTTGATTTTGTAGGGTGATCTGTGGAGCACCATATCTAAGTCGGACCTGGAACATCAGACCAGGACCTGGGAGCCCCTGAGAAAGCGGATTCTGCTGATGCACTGCTTCCTGTGTCACAGGTCACTGATGCTACCGGTCTAAGGCAGATTTGTGTGGACAGATGAGATGCCAGTTCAGGATGCTTTTACCACATCTATATTTTAAAAAGCAAAAAAGGAAAGTATGACTGCTCTGGAATGGCCCTCTCTCTGATGGACTTCCTGTCTTTTTCTTCAATGGTATTTCTTTCTTAACACTTCGTTTGAAAGCTTAAGGATATCTTTTACAGAACTCGGGCACAAAACCCAGGGAACCCACTGAAGTCAAGTGAACACCAGGCTTAGACACTTGGATCTATCAGGCCCGCCACTGGCCCTGCCCACAGGATGACAAATGACAGCTGCTGTAGTTTGGCATAACTGATGCCATCTTGTGCCCTGTATTTGACTTGTGCCCTATGTTTAACCCAGAAATTGCTCAGGGTACAAGTCCCATGAGAAGAACAGAATGAGATGCACCCACAGAGAGAAAAATTAACCTGCTCAACAAAGAAGCAGGATACAGGTATCAACCAAAATTAATGTAAGATTCTAGCTAAACTGTTTCCAACAGAATGTCTTGCTTTGCAGTTTTCTGCTTTAAATGCCCTGTAACCCTCCAGTTCAGGGCCACTCATTTTGACTCTGAGACAGAGGTCTAGGCGTGGTCGCTGAGCTTAGCTAATAAAATTCCATAATTTATCAATTTGGCCGCTTGGATTCCTGTGTTGTTTATGAACCCACTTCAAAGATGCGTGGTTCTGGCGGGCAGAAGCTTGAGGAGGGTAATTAAGTTGGGACTTAGAACAACTGGCCACATCATACCCAATGTAAAGGCCCTCTGATTCGTTCTGAAGAGACTGTCCACCCCGAGCCTATTGACTCTTGCAGAGCATGAGGCTGGCTCTTGCTGTGATAGCTGTCAGTACACCAGGGATCCTGCAATACCTGGAGAAGAGCTCAGGGGTCAGGAGATGCTGCGAGTGTATTTCTGTCCACCTGTCAGGGTGGGACTGGGGCTGGGGGACTCACTGTCTCTCCCCTGTGCTGTGTCTTCTACTCCTAGCACAGACAGGAGGGCGCCTGCTTGGGGTCAGGAGCTTGGGGGCTGAGACTCTGTGCTCTCTTAGCTCAGTGGTCCTGGGCAACTTCCCTGGTTGCCTGGATCTTGAGGGTCTTGTGTGTCGCACAGATAGGGGCTAAATGAGGTCCCCACCAGCTGTAAAGTTCTGTGGCACAATACAAATGACATTGTTTCAGCCTTTGAATGACCTGGTCTCATAAAGTAAAACATCCCTATTTGAGTTTTTATTGTCTAATTTCCCAGCAGAAAGAGCAATTCCAGGGCTGTAGAAAAGTGGTGCTTTCTCTTGTGCTTCAGTGTTAACAACGGGAGTCTTTTTTTTTTTTTTTTTTTTTTTTCCTGTTCCAAAATCTCTTCTGCAGCCGGCAGATCCAGGTCCATTGGAAAGTGGTGCATTTATATTATAAAGGGCCCACTGAGTGCCAACTGTCCAGGGCTCCCCACACACCCAATGCAGGTGCCAGCCAGGCATGAAGCTTCACCAGATGCATCTCTGCATGGCAGTTTTACCAATTACCCTCTACCCACAACAACAAACAAAAGCCACATACAGGAGGCTGAGCTTTGCTCTCTCTCTTGAGGTACTAAGCACTCCTGATCCAGCCTCCTGATGTCAAATGTCCATGTGGGCTGTACCAGCCTCTGCCTGGTGGTGGGGAAGCTGTGTACTCAGGAGTGTGTGTGTCCAGCTCTGGCACCTCCAGCCAGCTGCCCCGGCCTCCAAAACACTCCCCAGGCCCATGGCACACTGGTGCTAAGTGCCTCTTGAGGTCACATGGCAAGGGCACAAGAGCCTGATTTCCCATTGTTCATTCACCTGAGGAACACAAGCTCTGCTTGCACCCCGGTTTTTCTGGCACAGAACACGTGTGGCAGAGCGCAGCTCGGAGAGCCAGCTTCCTGAGCCCTTGTTGCGTACCTCCTGACCCTCCTCGTTGGGACCTCGCCTGCCCAGAAGCCCTGAGACCCAGACTCACCTGCTCCCTGGTGTCTGCCCACCAGCACATCAGCGCCCACCATGCAGCCCATGCCCAGGATGCAGACCACGATGCCCAGGAAGTGCACGGCCTTATACCGGACCAGCAGGAAGAACCAGGACAGCAGGATCACCACCGGGATCACGAAGCAGTCCAGGAGCTGCGAGACAGGGCGCAACAGAAAAGGGCTCAGAAGCGCAGGCTGGGGCACAGGGACAGGAAGTGTGGCCCTGGAGAAAGGACTCCCTGACTGCCTGATGCCCTGGGAACACACAGAGCAAAGGTAGGGGCCCTGTGCCGATAGCTGGGACCCTTGCTTGGTCACAGGAGCACTGGGGATGCAAGTGGGGTGCAGAGGTCTGACGCTGTCCCACAGATTCTCAGAACTGACACAAAAGCTGACATTAATTTCTCCCCTGATACCATCTCTCCAGACCCAACCGAAGTTACTGATCTGTCCTAGTCATTTTATTCTAAGAAGAAATTGCTCTGAATATTAATACAAGTATCAGTCTCAAAACTTAACAAATACGTTAATAGTGCTGTTGTTTGAAAAGATTGATAAAAGTTGCATGAAGACTAGAACAACAAAAAGAGTGTCATGTCAGCAGAGGCTCTGGGCAAAGATGCCCGGTGGCATGAGTCAGAGCAGGTGCAGAGCTCAAGAGGAGCCTGTGGAGGGCTGGAGACGTGCATCAGAGTCTGGGTCTCGTGCAGCTGTATGATGGCACCAGAGGCCTTGGTGTCCTGCTTGGCCGCAGCCAGCAGCCTTGCAGAGGGTACTCGGGGTGGAGATGGGTGCTCAGGCACCGGAGGCCACCGCAGCAGGGCTGGGCACAAAACAATGCTTTTTAAATTAAAGAAGATTGAACCGAACTGAACGGCTCCCTGCACCCCACTACTGGGTTCTGTCATCCACCAGATCCCTGGTGGGGGTGGTTAACAGCTCCCACTCCTGAATTACAGGCCTGAATTATGGACCACTGTCCACCCTGGAAGAGGTGATCCTCTCAGGGTCACCAGCCACCTGAGATCCTTTTGAGGGCTGTAGGCGATTTCCATGTCAGCCTGTCAGCAAATCCTTCTTTGAGTCAGGAAATTGCGGGAAAGGAGAGACTTCTGGAAAGCAGAGACGCTGGGTTCTGGGGTCTGGGAAGGGATGAATGGGGTGTGGCTGAGTGTGAGGCGTGGGGCAGTTGCAAGGTGTGCATGTGCCTGGCCACGGAAGGCTCACAGGCCCACAGGGCAGCCATGCTAGGCCTGGGCCCCAGAGCCACTGGGTCACAACCATGTGTTCCAGCGTCACCCAGATCCCGTGCAGGGAATGATGTCCCCCAGGTCACACAAACTGCTGATGTTAGCAGGAGTTAAAATGATGACATCTTTGAACAGTATTTAACGAAGGCCGTGGCAGGACATTTAATTCCTGAGGCTGGAGCTGCTGCTGTGGTGTCCGTGACTACAGATGAGAGACTACTTGGTGGCTGCTTAGGAAGGAGGTAATATTTTTAGCGATTTTTTTGCCTCCAGCCTCCTCTACTCTGTGGTTACATGACATGAGGTAAACTGACAAAATGATTTCCAAAAGTTTTCTGAGAGCTTAGTTTCTTAGCAAAAAGATTGTCAGAGTAATAAAAAGAGAAGGGTTGTGCTAGCTGTTTGGAGCTGGAACTGTTAAAAGTGAAAAAGTAGAGAAACTAAGAAAACCCTCTCATTCTGTCATCATCTATTTAGAAGATTTAGCTTTCTCTGCATCCATTTCTCTAACCAAAAGAAAACCATAAAGTGTCAAAACCAAAGCAAACAAGGAGCCGTTATTTCATAGCCATCTTATACTTTGGCAAATCTTGACGGACATAAAACTCACACTTTATGAGAAAAGCATAGGTCCCTGTTAGATGCGTGGCAGTGTGGGGTCCCAGGGATGCCTGCGGCCAGGGACCTTCTCACCAACACATACAGCAGCAGAAGCGAGGTCCTTGGAGATGGTTCCTTCCCTTTCCATTTCACATACCCTGCATTCCACCCTGGATGGGTGGCCTCCCCCGAGCTGGGTGCATGAGGGACAGGGAAGAAGGAAGTCTGGTGGCATCCTGGGGCACAGGGCTGCTCCCCGCTATGCTCCCTGTGTCTCTGCTTGGTTTGTGTCCATGTGGAAATTCCTTTCCTGATCATGAACCTACATCCCTTAGTACAGGGCATCCAAGTCTCTCGAAGGGAAGTAGAATCTGCTGAACACAGCACTAGCAACGCTTGTCTTTGAGTGGGGTGACCCAGTCTTCACAGCTCCACAGCCCGAATTCATGGTGGCCTCCACACTTCCTCTTGGGGACACTCACAGCTTTCACAGTGTGTAAAATACCCAGTCATAAGACTGCAAAACTCTGCCAGTCAGGGCAGCGTTTCCATCTGGAAGCTGATGGCTTAGCAGTGTTCTCCAATCCTCACACACCCCTGTGTCCCAGTCCAGCACAGGTGATGAGGTGCCCACAGCCTCTGCCTGGAGTGCTCTGGGAGACGGAGCCATCTGCCTCCTCATTAGTGCTCTCCTCCAGGCCTGTGCAGCTGCCACTGGCAGGTGACCAGGAAAGCGCACTGCCCCACACTTGTCTTCTCCTATGATGCACATGGAAATCTTTCTCCACTAAATATGATGGAAGCATTCATGGGAAAGTTCTCAACTGCAGGAACATGTGCTCTGGAATCCTAGATGGCTACCGTTTACTGGAGAGACCATTATTCGAGGACCACACCGTCACATGCCATCAACCCCATCCTGATTCCTGCCATCTGAGAGTCCGATCAGGGTGCACTCAGGGATCAGATGCCCCTGGGCAGTGGCAACCTGGCCGTTACACCCTATGCCCAGCTTCTCTCTTCCTCCAGGGCTGTTTCGCCCATGCCTTCCTTCCCCGTGTCCATTCAGGTTTAGTTTTTGGTGACCTTAAAATAGTCACCCTGAGGAAGCCTGGCTCCTACCATGTCACCATAGGGTCTGAGCTAACAGAAGGTGCACTGTGCCCACCGCGTGGCAGCCCCATCCCAGGACAGGCCCTGGGTGGACAATTTGGAGAAACATTTTCACCACACCATCCTCTGCTTCCAGCGATAAATTTCAGCTGTGTGGATATCACTGGCCACGCTGTGCCAGTCAGCAGCACTACCTAGTTATGCAAGTACCTTGACTTTCATGGCTTAGATAACAGAGAGAGAGAGAGAAAGAGAGAGAGAGAGAGAGAGGAGTCCTGCCATACATTGAAATCTGGGACAAGCACCTGGAGTCTTGCTGACTGGAGATACAGATCATCAGATACAGCTCCCTGCTCTGTAGGGACACCTGCTGCCAGGAGCAGAGCAGGGCAGGGAAGACAGACTCCTGCTGGCCAGTGACCTCAAGCTCATGGGGCTTTAGTCACCATGTGTTTCAGGCATCAGCAAGCCAGGTCCTAGAGGGAGAAGCAAGCAATGGCCAATGGCATTTGTTGTACATCTGCAGCAGGCGAGGTGACAGTGCCTTGTCTTTTCCATGTTACAGGCGAAGAGTCACGTGATAGTAAGTGTGACAGTCGGTGGTCCCTGATCTGCCATTTCTGCACAGGAATGGTCTTACGAGCAGGTATGGGCAGGACAGGTGCTCCAGCAGGGAGTACTACCCTCGTAGCAGGAGCAGTGAGCTGTCCACAAAGGGACCCTGGCTAGGAATGGCCCCCGCACTGCCAGAACCAAAGGAAGTGCAGCATAGGACACACAGTGCATGGGTGGGATGAGCTTCCAGCCCTTGTGGCCCTGGGCCCTCAGTGGACGTGGCCACTCCCAGACCACCGAGCCCCAACTCCAGCTTCCTATGGACAAAATCAGGGGCCTCAGAACATGAAGGATGATGAACACGCCCATGTTCTGGAGCTCAGAGCTCTGAAGAAATGGAAGTTTCTTGACAAAATATTAATCCTGCATTAACTTTTCATTACTTTTGATTCCTCTGAGCCCAAAACAACAGAGCGAAACAATTTCAAAAGCTAGAGGAAAACATCTTGTTCTTTTGGGAATCTATTTCTAGCTTAACTCACTATTCTAGGTTTTGTTAAAGAAAAGGGGAAGTCAGACTTTCAGGGCTTTACAGCAGAAGTTTCCTTGTCCATGCATCTGGCAACAACTGAGTGCTCATTGTGCCCAGCTCTGTGGGGGCCGGGGCCTTGGGAAGGAGGCTGTGCCGGCTAAGCGGCCGCTGCCAGGGGGAATGATTTCCCCACTGCTTACAGGAAGGTGTGGCTGGTGCTCAGGATCATGCTGTCCCCTGCCTTGGAGCCTGCCCTTCACTTTCCTGGGACCCTGCTACAGCCCATAAGCTTCTCCGTCTCCACCCTGTCTGTCCATCCAGTCTGTGGGCTGCCCATCCCCTGCCCTTCATCTCCACCCAGCCGCCCCACAGTGCCACGGCTTGCACTCCTCACAACGCGCGCTGATGGATCCTCAGTTACCTACTCTGGCATTGGGATCTCGCCCACTCCTCAGTGTCCCACAAAGGACAGACCCTGACCATGACCACCCAGCTTTGGACGCTACCTTCTCCCTCCCCGCTCTTCTCGGTGCTGGGGACTGAACCCAGGGCCTTTTCAGTGTGCGGTATCCTCAGCCCTGTCTTTGGATTTTTTGCATTTTGAGACAGGGTCACACTAAACTGTTAAATTGCCTGAGATGGCCTCAGGCTGGAAAATAGAAGCCAATGGAGGTCAGGTGACTAATGGCGCTTTTGCCGAGGTCCAGCTCCATAGGCCCCACCGGAAGCAGTTTCCTTTCAGCTGGCTTCAGCACTGCACCTTTGCTTTCCCACCTTAGGAGGGCCTCAGCTTCCCAGCCTTGTGTCACAGTCTAGCTCGTGGGCTCTGGAGTGCCTTTCTCTCCCACAGGGTATCACCCTGGTCATTTCGTGGATGTTACTATGCTGACTGGACAGAGTAGGAGGCAGCGACCACTCTGGACTTGTTAGTAAAGCATGTGCATGTGAGAGGATGACAAATGAACCAAATAAAATTCAAAGGCCCTCTAGCTCAATAAATGTCTAGGGGTCCAGTACCATAGGGCACGTGGAGCTATCCCTTCTAAGGTGAAGGCTAAGTTACTGAATCTGCTCCTTTCTGCAACCAAAACTGAAACAAACTC